CTGCTGCCCCTACCACTGCCAGAAGGTCCCACTGTCTCTCCTTCAGCCTGAGCTGGAGGGCTTCTCCTGGAGTTCTCGCCACCTTTTCCAGGTTCTCCCTCCAGGCTGAGAAATCAGAAAGGGAAAACAAAACAATAATGGTGAAATCACCACTGGTCAGATGGTATGTCAAATTCTGTTCTTCCTCAATATTGTCTTCCAATTCATGAGTACTGTATATCTCTCTCTCCATTTATTTCAGCGGTTCTCAAACTGTGGGTTGCGACCCCTTTGGGGGTCGAACGACCCTTTCATAGGGGTCGCCAAAGACAACAGTAGCAAAATTACAGTTATGAAGTAGCAACGAGAATAATTTTATGGTTGGGGGTCACCGCAGCATGAAGAACTGTATTAAAGGGTCGCGGCATTAGGAAGGTTGAGAACCACTGATTTATTTAGATCTTTTTTAACTTAGCCGTCTTTCGTAATTTCTATATACAGGTCTTACATACATTTTGTTAAATTTCTCACTAATTGATGTTACTGCAAATGGTATTTTTAAAAATTCATGGTTCAATTGTTCATTGCTGGCATATAGAAATACAATTGATTTTTTAATATTGATCTTATATACTGCAACCTTGCTGAATTCACTTATTAGTGCTAGTTGCTTCTTTTTATAGATATCTTAGGATTTTCTCCATAGATGATCATGTGACATGTGAATAATGACAGTTTTACTTTTTCCTTTCTAACTGGTATGCCTTTTATTTTATTTTGTTGCCTTATTGCACTGGCTAGGATCATCAATATAATGTTGAATAGAAATGATGAGAATGGACATCTTTGCTTTACTCTCAGTCTGAGGACAAAAACATTTAGTCTTTCATTGTTATAATTTATATAGAGTTTTTATAAGTAGTTTTTATTACTTTGAGGAAATTTCTTTCTACTTATAATTTATGGAGAGTTTTTATTGTGAATGGGTATTAAAATTTGTCAAAACTTTTTTTCTGCATTTATTAAAATATTTGTTTTTTTTTTCTGTTAATGTGACAAATTGCATTGACTGATTTCCAGCTTTTGACCAAACCTTGCTTTTTATAAGGTAACCCCACTTTGTCATGATCTATTATCCTTTCTGTAAGTTGTAGAGTTTTGGCAAAAATTTTTACCTCTGATCATAAGATATATTGTTCTTAATTTTTTTCTTTTCTTAAATTGTCTTTGTTTGGTTTTGGTATTAAGATAATGCTAGCCTCAGCATATTAGTTAATACATGTTCTCTTCCTTTGTTTCCTGAAAGAGTTTGGGTAAGATTGATATTATTTCTTTCTTACATATTTTATAGAGTTTTTTAATAAAGTTGGTGGTATCTGTACTTTTCTTTGTGGGGAAATTTTAAATTATGAATTCAATTTTTTAATAGATATAAGATTAGAGTCTTAATTCTGTTGGCTTCCACTTTGATAACATTTTTCTTTGATGGAAATTGTCCATTTTATCTAAATTATCATATTTATTCATATCATGTTATTTATACTATTTTTTTATCTGTTTAATATTATTTTAATGTCTTCAGGCCTTATAGTGATTTTCTGTCTCTAACTTTTTTTTTTCATATTGATAATTTGTGCTTCTTCCTTTTTTAACCAAGTTAACATATTTTGTTTTTTATTTTCCAATCCTTATACATAAGCATACATATATTTTACAAAGTTGATATAATAGCATACATAAATTGTATTCTTATCTGAGATTATGTTTCAATGACCATGTATTTGTTTAACCATGTTATTTTTTTTAAATACCACTTTATTGAGGTATGATTGACATAAAAAGCTGTATATATTTAATGTATACAACTTGATGAGTTTGGAGGTAAGCATATACCCATGAAACCATCACCACAATCAATGCCATAAACATATCCATCACCTCCAAAAGTTTTCCCATCATCCTTATTTATTAATATCTTTTGTTATAAGAACACAATATACAATCTATTCTCTTAGCACATTTTATTTATTTATTTTTTATTATTATTATTTTTATCCTCACCCGAGGACATTTTTTCATTTTTGTTCAGATAGAGTGGGAGGGAGGGGGGAGGGGGCGGAGAGAAACATCGACGTGAAAAGGACACATCAAGTGGCTGCCTCCTGCACAACCCAACCAGGGCTGGGGACCAATCGCAACCAAAGTACGTGCCCTTGACCAGAATCGAACCTGTGACTCATTGGTCCACGGGCCCACGCTCTAACCGCTGAGCAAAACTGGCCAGGGCTCGAGCTCTTAGCACATTTTAGATATATAATATAATGTTAACTACAGGCACTATACTGTACAGTAAGTTAACAGTAGGCACTGTGCTGTACTGTAGATTTATAGGACTTGCTCATCTTGTATAACTAACTGAACCTTTGTACCCTTGGATCAAGACCTCCTTCTTTTCTCCTTCTTGGCTCCTGGTAACTACCATTCAAGGAATCCTTATTGGGGAATGTAAATTGGTGCAGCTAGTATGGAAAGCAGTATGGAGGTTCCTCAAAGAATTAAAAATAGAACCACCATATGATCCAGGAGTCCCACTTCTAGATAGATATCCAAATGAATTGAAATCAAGATATTGAAGAGATACCTGCTTTCCCATGTTCATTGCAGCTGCATTCACAACAGCCAAGAGATAGAAGCAACCTAAATGTCCATCAGGAGATGGATGGATAAAGAAAATGCAGTATTTACGGTCAATGGAATATTATTCAGCCTTTTTAAAAAAAGGAAATTCTGCCATTTGCAACAATGTAGATGAACCTTGAGAACATTATGCTAAGTGAAATGAACCAGACACAGAAGAACAAATAGTGTAAGATCCCTCCTATATGAGAAGTCTATAATAGTCAAACTCCATTTTCTTTTTTAATCTGGCTAGAAGTTTATCAATTTTATTAATTTTTTAATGAGCTAGCTTTATGGTTTCATTGAGTTTTCTCCATTGTTATTGTTTTATATTGCATTGGGTTCCATTAATCTATTATTCCATTTCTTCTTACATTAGGTTTAATTTGTTTCTTCTTCTTCTTTTTTTTAATCATCTTAGGATGGAAGCTCTGATCATTGATTTCAAACTTTGTCTTTCTCATATAAATATTTAAAGTTATAAAAGAGGAACATTTATGTGGAAGTTCATGTTAATGTCTCTGGAATCGGAAACATTTTACCTTCTGTAACATCTTATAGTTATAACTGTCATCATATATTCTTGCTTAGTGATTCACATAGTAATGATGCATCTTGCCATCACTGGTGTCCTAGGTGCAATGAAATGCAGGATTATACAATCTTTTTAACTCAGCTCATCTAGTAATTACTCAGTAAAGATCTTGACACAGTGATGCTTGGGCATCATAGCTGCTCTCTCCTTGCCATTGTTTGTACTTTGCTTATAGCATGATCATCAGTCTTTTATCTTTTTAGTATCCTCAAAATTGAGGGTTCCTTGAGAGTTATCTTAAGATCCTCCAAAGTAACTAGTGGAATGTTCTGCTTACACAATGGTACACAATACTTGTATAGTAAATAAAGGATAAGAAAGACTTAACTGCTGAGCATAGCTTTAGAAGCAGCCCCCAAACTGATGCCCTCTGAGTCCATAATTAATGTATATATCAAAAAATTGCAATTATGTATATGTTGTTGGATATCTCATCTTCAGTGAACTAGCAGTGTACAGTGATGTACCGAAGGGTACTTCTACTTTTTAATTCATCTTAAATCTTTTCCTATCAATTGCTGCATTTTTTGTTTGTTTAGAGATAGATTATCTTTGAGTTGTTTCCTATTCTGAATCAAATATGCAAGTATTTATACTGTACATACCCCACTGTATGTTTTTGTATTTATCTTACCCAACATGTGTTTCCTTTGGATACTTTATGGCTGGATCTTTACCTGAATGAAGTAGAACATAACATTATTGCTTTTAATCTCGTTAGCTCCTTAAAACCCTATTGTTTTCACCTGCTTAGAGAACTCCCTGGCAAGACAGTACTGCAGACTAGTGTTCTCTAAGGCTTCACTCCTTATACAGGCTCCTCTTCCTCCAGGTGTAGCATTTCAGCAGATGAAGTTTTCTTGTTTGTTTTCCCTCATTACAGGGGAGTTATATCATGTGCAGGTTTAACGGAGACACTGACTTTAGAACTCAACCCCCAGGGAAAAAGTAAATGTTCTGCATACTTAGCTGCCTGTGGAATTACTAAAAAGAGGAGGCAAGGGGTTTATTCTCACACCCCTTTAGCAGTGAACTTGCGTTCTCTTTCCTGCTCAGAAAGACCCAGGTTTCATGGGCTCTGCTCCTTGGCATAGGAAGTCCGCGTTTATGTTTATCAGTTAGAAAACTTTGAGCTTGGATGAACAGGGTGCTCATCGGAAGGTGGCCTAAACAGTGAGGATATATTTATCTCACTTAATAGGAAACCCAAAGTTAGGCAATCCTAAGGTTGGTGGAGTGCAGATGTCACGGTTCTGGTCTTCCTCTTAGAATTTCAATATGACTGCACCTCTCTGAACATCAGAGTCCCATCCAACATCCATTCTAAAGCCCTCTTCCCTGTTGTGAGGGAATGTGTGTCTTTCATGAAGGGGAAAAACTTGTGTCTCCTCAAATATCTCATTGCCCAGGAGTGGGTGACGTTGTGCTCTAGCTATGCAGGAGGCAGGGAGAATATTTACACTATGTAGCGGGAGCAAGGAAGGAGGTGGAGAATGACTGCTGGCTGGGTGTGTGTCTGCACGTGTGTGTTTGTGTGCGTGTGTGAGTAAGATATAGAGAGAAATCCAGATGGGCTATTTGTGTGTATGGAGGCTCTCGTTCCCCATGGACTTGTACGTGGACTTATATGGATGGCCCACCACAGTGGAGGAGGAGGGTGGCATTTGTGTCCAAATTGCCTTTGCTTCCAATGACACAGTCAGAACTTTATATTTTGTTTTAGTCACTTAAAATTTTGTGATTTCAGGTTGAGTCCAGAAATCTTCCTGAAACGCCCGGTGGTTGAAGGGAATCGTTGGCGGTTGGACTGCATTCTTAAACGAAAAGCAGTATGTACTTTCCCAGCAAGTGCTGATATGATTCCTTAAGTGTTTATTGCCTCTGGCATGCTTTTCCTTTTCTTTCTTTCTTTCTTTCTTTAAATTTTTATTTATTGATTTTAAGGAGAGAGGAAGAGGGGAAGACAGAGAGAGAAACATCGATTTACTAACTGAGCTATTTGGCCAGGGCTTGAAATGCCTTTTCTTTTTAAAGCCCTTCATATATACTTATAACTTTTTTCTTTAGAGTTTGACAAAAAGGTAGAATACTTACTGTTTTCAAGTTCATTTGGTTCTAATTCTTTTTTCCGGTTACTCTTGAGTGCATAATATTTCAGTTGAATTCACAGCATGAGTTTTATTAGCAATTCTAATTTCTGTTTTTTTAAATCAGTTATGGGCAGTTAATTTTATAGGCAAAAACGTACAATAACATTTCTTTATTTAATAATAAATGATGAAATGAAACAACACTTTATTTATTATGTTATTTGAGCAAAAGACAAAGTCATCTGAGGTTTCAGTCAGATGAGGACAAGCTAACGTTGAAGAATATCAAAGAGGAGGGACATTAAGACTTGGCCCTGTTTTTATTTCAGTTTGGGGGCAGTTCCTGGTTATAATGTGAAATTGTTTCCTGTGCAGTTGGCCCGGTAGTTTCTTGGTGAGCATCGAGTGTACTCTTTTTGTTATAAAAAATAAATAACTGAATCAGTATAGGTTCACCAAGGACCACTTTACATTCATATTTGTAATGAATTTTTCAATGTAGTTGGCCCTCAACCAAGTTAAATTAAGTTGAATTAGAATAAATCTGGATTTATTATTAATCATGTTCAAATTGGGGAGTGCTTGCCTTTTTACTATTATTTTGAAACTGTCTTCATTTTTTTAATTCTGCCATTAAACATTCGAGCAGAATGATCCTAAGTCATCGTGGGCAGCGTTTTGCTATTGCCCACACCTTTCACTCATTTCTTTTTTCCCATCCTCTACCTCTTTCCCCACTCACCATTTCCTCCCCTTTCAGTTTCTTTTCCCCATGTTTTTACTTCAGGGTTTTTGCAGATATCCATAATATAATCAGAGCTCACTGCTAATACTGAAGACTGAAGCTGATAACCTTTATTTCAGACACATGTCTTGCCACACAGCATGGTTTGCATGGCTAATGTAATTTGTTGTCTGAACAGAAGTCTGTTTACAAAATTGGGGATTCTGATCTTGGAAAGCAGTACTTGCATATTTATTACATAATTCAGCATATGGTTCCTGAGTGTCTCCTATGAGCCTGGTACTACACTAATTGCTAAGATGACATGTGTGTGAATAGGATTCCATCTCTGCCCGTGGAAGGCTTGCTAAAGGACTCGTGTTCTGGGCTCAGTGCTAGGATTGCCCAACTTGTTTCTATATGTTGAATGGGCTGTAACTTTCTCCATGAGTCAATCATACTAGTAAATCCTCTCCTTATAGCACTTATCCAACACTTTACTGTTTTACTTTCAATAAGCATGTGTTTGCTGAATGCCTAGTATGTGCAGGGCACTTGGCTAATCAGATGGGGATACACAGAAACAAGAAACATGATTCATGACCTGAAGGAGCCTAAGACTCTACACAAGAGTCTACTGGGTACAGAGACCAAGTCAAGATTCAAAGGTAGAAGGGAGAGCACGGGGTGGGTCAGGTGGGGAGTCACTCACAACATGAGGGATTTAGGGCATTTGGGATGAGCAAAAACATTTTAAAGAGGATGTTTCTAGACGGTGAGGAAACGCTCTGGAAGCAGAAATTCAGAAGGCTTTATCAGTCACAGTAAGGTGACAAGGTTGATTACACCTGAGTGTTAGCATAGACAGGATGACGGATCAAGCTGGAAGGGCAGGTTGTAGCTAGGATGTGGAGGGTTGATGACCAAGCCAGTGGTTTGGACTTTATGGAATACAGTGGGGACCTACCGGGGTAGGGGGTGTGATGGATGAAAGATGATCTGACCAAAATGGTATTTTGGGAAGGTGAATCTAGTAGTGGGAGGAAGTGGGGAAAACTCAGACGTAGAGAGCTAAATGTTAGATCACTTGAGTGAGGTGTGTACAGAACATCTAAGTAAACTCCAGAAGCTAGTCGATGCCAGAACAGGGCTCAGGAGGAAGATCGTGCAAGCCTGGCCCTCCACTTTGTCATCTGGCAGATGTTTGTTTATCCCCTTAGCAGATGTTTGTTTGTCTCCTGCCTTTTCTATCACAAGCATGGCTTTCCTTTGCTTTCATAGCCCATGAACCCTGGTGGGGTTCCAGGTGAACACCATGGCCAAGTAATTATTATTGCCTGATAGTGGTGCTTTATTTTAATTTTATCAGCTTCCTTAAACTTGTAATTTTTAAATTGCGGCTAGTGGTTTTTAAAATGTCCTCAGGAAATAGTAATACTGTTAAATACTAATTTCTCATTGGTACATTTAATAGAATTGTTCTTCCTTAATCTAGCTACACCATATTATTATTTGGGTCATACATTATGAACACTTGGGTCATTCCAAATTGACATTTCATATGCTCATGAGCACTGCTTCACATAAATAATTTTGTTTCTGAAAGCCACTAACTTCACAAAGTAGCAGGTTGATAGTAACATTCATTCTTGCATTAATGGGCCCCAGAGGCCCACAAGTTTGATTAAAATAAATGATTTTTTCTTCTTCTATTTGATCATGCAGATTTTGGGGAAGGATTTAGTGTTTCTGTCTCATAGTCAACATATAGGCAGACCTCTTTTATAATGACTGTTTCTTAGGGAAAAAATATAATATTTTGTTTCTCTTTAATAACCAAATTGATATTTTCCTGTCTCTCTGGTCCTCTGATATGCAGTGTGATGATTTAAAATAGTATAAGCCGCCCTGGCCGGTTTGGCTCAGCGGTTAGAGCATCAGCCTGCGGTCCACAGAGACCCGGGTTCGGTTCCCGCTAAGGGCATGTACCTTGGCTGCAGTTTGTCCCCGGCCCTGGTTGGGTCGTGTGGGTGGCAGCCACTCGATGTGTCCCTTTCACATCGATGTTTCTCTCTCTTCCTCTCTCTCTTTCCCGCTCTATCTGAGTAAAAAATGGAAAAATGTCCTTGGGTGAGGATAAAAAAAAATAATAATAATAAAATAAAATAGTATAAGCCAACCTTGAGCGGCAGGGTGTTTAAAATTCAAACCAGCATTCCAGGGTTTTCCACACACAGTTCTGCATTTTCTACACCATGAGGTGAAATAAGTTACATCATAGTTACGGTACCAATATCCCTGTTTCCAGTTTGTGTATTTCAACCTTAGGGATATGTGATACTTCTGACGAGATGTGCACCAAAAGAATCTTCAAGTGCAGCAGCCTGGAGACTTACAGATAAAGGTTTAGGTCCTTAGGGGGCTTTTGTCATCAGGGCTTTCTGTCATCACAGAATTTCATTCTGTGCTGGACCACAAGGCACATGCTAGAGTCACAGACTGTGAGCAAAGAGAGAGAAGAGTGTCCAGGTTTATCAAATGCGATGAATAGTCACATCTCTGCCCAGAAAAATCAAAGAGAATCTTATCAAAGTGGTGGCCTGGAAAGGATGGAAGGGAAGGGGAGAAGAGATGTTTAACCTGGAGGACTGTGCTTTCGATAGAACTGGTTTAAGAAGTTTAAAAAGCTCACAAGCATTTGTGCTCTTACATCCCAGTGCTGCTTGCATTTAAATGGTGAGATATGATTTCTTTGCATCCTTTACTTCTCATTTTCCTGAAATATTGCACCCCCTGGGGAAGTTGCTGACAAGTGATAAATTAGTGGTCACCCTGCATAAGCTGAGCCCTCTTCAAGCAGTGGACAGCCTGGCTACGTCTAGAAAATGTTGTCACTGCTGTACTTGGAACAATCAGTGAAAAAGCTGGCTCAGGAACAAAGTCTCTTGACTTCAACTATGAAAAATTTTTATTTTTCTTGTCTTTGCATGTGTGATGTATAGGTAAAACTCCCCAAAATACCTACTGCATATAGTATTGTGTCTGTCCTACTTGAATAAAAGCAAATTAGGAAAGAAGATAGAATTTTCATCTTTAAAAACTCAAGTTTGATGAAGTTCATTCTGTGGAAACCTCGGTTAATTGACTTCAGTAGAGATAAGACACAAGGCATTGCGTCGTCAAATCCAAGCCGTCCCTTTGTGTTCCTACTTCCCCATTAACACTTTTCCTCCCCCTCTCCAAGCAAAAGTCACTAGAAGGCATTGGTAAAACATTCGCTATTTCAAAAGTGTATTTTTTTTTTAAATTACAGAATTAATATTAGCGCTTTTATTTTCTTTCTGATTTGGATTTCATTTTGCATAAATATTTTCCACATTTGTATAAGTCTTCACTCTCATGACCCAGGAAATGCCTTTGTTCCCAAGGAATATTTTTTCCTTTGTCCTTTATAGTTCAGAGTTTACGGTAATGTTGCAATACTTCGACCAAAAGAAGAGGAGTTTATTGCTTTATTATCACAGAAGTCTTGTTACTAATTAACTGTTTATTGTGGATGTGAGTAAATAATTGTAAATCAGACTGTGTAAAAATGGACTTTTTATATTTAATTGCTACTTCCTTATTAGTCATTTGTATTTAAGCTAAAAGAGTCAAAGTCTCTACCCTATTTCCTTTAGAGTTAATTTATTTTAATGATTAAAGACATAACACAGAAGAAAATGTCAGGTATGATAGATAGAGGGTAATAATATAATCCATTACCATCAACATCTCTATTATTTCAAAAATCCATTAGTTATGCAGGTAAATGGAAAATTGTAAGATTCAGGCCAGTTCCTAACTTGCGACTACTTTTCTTATGAGTGAGTAATAATCTCATAAGCCTAAGGAGTAGAATTTCATCCATTTAAAACAAATGAACCATGATGAAAGATGTCATTTGTAATGTACTATAATTTAGGTAGAAATTTGGGGTTTTAAATTTTGTATCTTTCGATAGGAGGCTATTTTTGGTCATTGTTATTCAGTGCTGAATCCTAAGATATTCAAATAGCAAGGTAAATCAGGACCATAGAGGAGAAAATTAAATAATGTCCGACTTTTCATTTCAAACCCTTTATGAGGGTTCACTGCACAGCGCTCACTGCCAAACCATTAGACATTAATCTGCTCACTTTCTATAATTTCCTTTTCTTTTCTCTTTACTCAGGTAATAGTTATGTAATTATAATAAGTAATGAGCAAGTTCCAAAAGTCAGCTCTTAACCAGAGACATAGGATGATATATATATAGATTATATATATAGATTATATATAGGTTATATATAGATTATATATATAGGTTATATATATAGGTTATATATATAGGTTATATATATAGGTTATATATATGTGTGTATATATATGTATGTTCTATATTTCTTATTCTACTTTTTTTTAATCCTCACCTGAGGATATTTTTCCATTTATCTTCAGATAGAGTGAGAGGGAGGGAGGGAGAAACACTTATGTGAGAGAGACACATCGATTGGATGTGTAACCGAGCTGCGTGCCCTTGACTGGGATCCTACCCGCGACTCTTTGGTCCTCGGATCATCACTCCAACTGCTGAGCCAAACCGGCCAGGGTTATTATCATACTTTTTTCGGAGCAAGAGTGCGTCTTCTCCTAGTACTCACAGTTCTTTACTGTAGCCTATTTTTCAAAAATGTATACACTTCTTAGATATTACTAGTATTGAGAAAGATAGAGCGTTAGTGTTTTGAAGCGATGTATTATTATAAGGCTTTAAAAGCCAAAATAATGCTCACTAATACTGGCAGAACAATATTGGAGAATTGCATATGTGTTTCATTTACTCCAATTTTTTCATTCTGCAACCTAAAATATAAACTCCTGCCTGGCTGGTGTGGCTCAGTTGGTTGAGCATCATCCCATGTACCAAGAGGTTCAATTCCTGGTCAGGGCACATGCCTGGGCTGTTGGCTCGATCCCCAGTAGGGGGCGTGCAGGAGCCAATCGATGCTTCTCTCTCACATCACTGTTTTCCTCCCTCTCCTTTCCTCCCTCTCTAAAATCAACTTAAAAAAATTTTAAACTCCCATATTATTTTCCATCTGTAGATGTTGTTCAACCCAGTAAAGATTTGTGTCTCAAATTTCCATGATGAACAATGGCTAATTATCATGGGTTATTCATTTTAACTTTAAATTATTCTCTGTCGCTATAATTTATTAGATATGCCAACATTTTTAATACTTTAGGAAGTATTATGAACATTTCTTTCCTCTAATCTCTGGAATATTAAGTACCTAGGTGTAGATACATTATCCACTGTGTATGCAATATGTTTCAGAGTGCTTTCAGAGCTTCTGGGTATAGAGAATGCAAATTTAAATGCTGCCAACTGCACAGCAATAATGAGAATTCACACCTTCAAGTGAAAAAGTAGTACAAAAGGTGGGGGTAAATAGGACAAGAGTGGATATATACATGCTGAACTATATGTTGGAGGGGGGACCATCTGGGTGGAGAAGGGGAGGGACAGTGAGGGGTGGGGTGATTTAGCATAGGCTAAAACCTTGTCACCACCTAGAACTAAAAAAGAGAATATTAGTACTTCTTTGTACTCTCAGTCATTGAACATTGTCTTTTTGATGGTTAAATAAATGTTAGTTATATAGTATATTAAAGTTTATCAGACACTGTTGATGCAATTTGACCCTCTTTTTTAAAAAGAAAAATCCTATGAAACATACCCCAGGAATGTGAAGGGATATTTAGCTTAACTTATTATATCAGAGGGTTTTTTTTGGTTTGTTCATTTTGTTTTCATCACTTTAATAAAGTATAATAAAAACAAACAGAAAACCCTGAATCTGTTACATGAATCAGGTCAAATCTTACTCAATGACAAGTGTTTGGAAATGTTCACAGGTGTAAGACTGTCAGACACTTTTAGTAGTTGAGGTTATAATTTCAACCTTCTGGCTGTAGTTAGTCAAATATTGACTCGGTCTTGGTATAGCAAATTGTAGGTAGGAGTGGAAGAGAGATACGTCTTATTTTTTATATTTGTGTCTTAATAGACATACACTTACATTTCACCTCCTTGTATATTGTGTTGTTCATTAAACGTTTTACTATACTTGCTTTAGAAGAAATTTTTGAAAGTGCAATGCGCAGAAAGGAAGAAGAAAGAGAAAACCATACCCTACCTGCAGAAATGCTCATTGCTCCCTGTGTTTTCTCCGTGACAGCAAGAGGGGGTGCGAGTCTTCATCATGCTCTACAAGGAGGTGGAACTTGCCCTTGGCATCAATAGTGAATACACCAAGAGGACCTTGATGCGTCTACACCCCAACATAAAGGTACTCGGGTTCATCTTGCTGAGCCATGCTTCTTCTTTATTATTCTGTAGTTTTTTGGGTATGTTTTGTTTGAGCAGTGGTAATGTGTAGAATTCCCTAATGTATATTTAGACAAAAATAGCACCGTGCCCTTCTCAGAAATAAGAGAATATACTATATTATTTTTATACTTCTAATATTGATGGAGTCAGCAGAGGTCGCATCTCCACTTTTCCTACCCTGATAATTTAGTCACGAGCACACTCCCCAGAGTTGTCGTAATATCTGAGGCCTGTCGAGTTTCCATTCTCCTCATTAAGATGCTCCTGGAACCGCTTAGATGTGCTCTCCCTGCGGCGTCCCTTGAATTCTGATAGCAACCAAGAACGCTGTTAGGATTGAAAGTGTTTTTCTTAATGACACCTTGTATGACACACTAATACAGTAAATAAGCACAAATAAGCACAATTTGAAAAAAATCTATTTAATATTTTACCCATGACCTGAAGCCAGTCTATAAATATTGCCCAGTCATGGAGGTATATCCAGACAATGAATCAGTAAATCTCCAGCAGGCTTAAATTACATAAAAATTATATATTTCACTTGGTTAAAAAATATATATGCCATGTAAATAGTAACCAAAAGAGAGCATGAGTGGCTGTACTGATATCAGACAAAATAAACTTTTTATCAAAATAGCTTATAATAGGCAAAGAAGGACATTGTATATTAACAAAAGGTTCAGTGCAGAAAGATGATGTAACACTTATAAGCATTTCTGTACCAATAATGACCATTAAAATATATACAGCAAACTGACAGAACTAAAGGGTGAAATCGGTCTACAATAATCGTTGGACACACTACTATCCCCCTCTCAGTAATGGGTTGGTATGTATAGAGAATGGAATCTTGTTCAGTCTTAGAAAGGAAAGAAATTCTGACATATGCTAAAACATGGATGAACCTTGAAGACATTATTCTAAGTGAAATAAGCCAGTCACAAAAAGACAAATATTTTATGATCCCATTAATATGAGATGCCTACAGCAGTCAAATTCATAGAGACAGAAAGCAGAATGGTTGCCAGGGCTTGGGGGGAGAAGCGAATGGGAAGTCAGTGTTTAATGGGGATAGACTGCAGCGGTTCTCAACCTGTGGGTCGCAACCCCTTTGGGGGTCAAATGACCCTTCCACAGGGGTCGCCTAAGACCATTGGAAAACACACATTTCCAATAGTCTTAGGAACCGAGACACTGCTCCTCTATCTGTCTCCAGGCGGGTCCGCCCACATGCAGATCCACCCACATACAACATGAGGAACTGGATTAAAGGGTCGTGGCTTTAGGGAGGTTGAGAACCACTGGTATAGAGTCTCAGTCTGCAAAATGAAGAGTTGTGGAGGTGGATCATGGTGATGAACACCACTGAACTGTGTACTGAAACATGGGTAGTGTGGGAAATTTTATGTTGTGTGTTTTATCACAATTAAAAATGTTATTTTTTAAATGTACTCTGCAAAATTTTGGAAATGTTTCTACATAAAGACATACATACAAAGATAGGATAGGTCAGTCTGCAATCATTTAGAAAGAATTTGATCAAGCAGGAAGTTAATAAATCCTCAAAGTGCCTTTCAAATTAAGAGCAGCCAAAATATCTATATCCCTATATTCATATTCTTACTATTTCAACTCAATAACTGCCAAAAGATTAATATACTTATTTAAATTTTCCCAGAGCTAGATGTTGGTTAAAAAAATTTTAGAGCTTTTTTGTTTTTAAATAATAGCAGATAGAATCTTTTTATAGGGGGGAAAGGAAATCAGCTATTTTATTGAGCTGACTTTTATTGAAATTTGTGACTAGACTTCAAGCTAAATGGCAGCTACCCCAAAATGTAGTGTGGTACGGCAGGGAGCCTTCTAAAGAGAATAAAACTAGAAGTTTGGGGATTATCTTGGGTGTATGCAGAGCGCATTTTGGTATTTGAATTATAGAAAATGCTATTCAGGGGAGAAAACAGGCCTATTATAATATGAAGGACAGTTTAGTAGGAACTGAACCCAGGTCTCTCTGGTTCGCAGGTCGACGCTCTAACCACTGAGCCAAACCGGCCAGGGCTGAAGGACAGTTTAAAAAGCATATTACATAAGCATTTTTCTTTCTCTCCCAAGGTGATGAGGCACCCAGATCATGTGTCATCCAGCGTATATCTCTGGGCTCATCACGAGAAGCTTGTCATCATCGACCAGTCAGTGGCCTTTGTGGGCGGGATCGACCTGGCCTATGGCAGGTGGGATGACAATGAGCACAGACTCACGGACGTGGGCAGCGTGAAGCGTGTTACCACGGGGCCATCTCTGTGTTCCCTCCCAGTAAGTAACTTCACCTTTACGTAAGAGGAACACAATTCATGTAAATATATATGATAGCATGACTGACTGACGGCTTGAATGAGAGGAGACAGTGAGTCAAACGTAGACACTCCTGGTTTCAGATACCACCGAGCGAATCTGTAACTTTGATTCTTAGTCTCAGTTTCTTCTCTAGTAAGAAAGAGAAAACAGATACAGTGGAGCATTTGCTACTTCATAGTCAGCTCCTTTGTTTTCCATTTAAATTAAAGATTTATTTGCTATTAGGAAAAAAGCTTACACACAAAAATGTACAACAATTGAGCTTTAAGTTAGGTAAGCTGCCTTATTATATACAGGTAGCTGCCAAGGTTTTTGGCATCTTCCTACTTAAAGACACATAAAAATAGGATTGGTAATTCTGTTTGAAAGCAGGAGGTTAATAACTTTCCAAACTACCTTCAAACCAAGAGCGGCCAAAATATATCTATATGACTATATCCACTTCCTTATTACTTCATCTAGAGTGGTTGCCAAAATATCAATACACTTATTAAAATACTTGATGGACTCCATCCTATTTTACTGCTGGATATGTTGGTGATTTTTCTGGGAAAGTAAACAGTGTAGCGAATTGGTAACAGGGAAAATAATGGACAGAAAAGGCACTGCTTACTTAATGCTTAGCAGAAGAGCAAGTTCAGTGCCTCCACAGTGACTGCAGCTCATGTCGTTGTATTTGAGATGAAAAGATTAGTTGGTATGAAATTTCAAGAATTCGTCCTGAAAGAGGACCGACAGTGGAACGCCTGGTGTGCCTGTGGTCGTATTCAAACCACCCACAAGAGTCCCCACTGCCCTGTGACTGACCTCACACCCTACTGTGTGTCTGTTAGAAGCTTCTCTCCTGGGCTGACTCTGTCCTGTCCCTCACCTGACTGGAGTGGCAGGGCCACAAGGCAGCATTTCTGATGCAGTATCTTTATTTTTTTTAATAATTTTCTTAGGCTGAAACAACAGAGTCTATGGAATCCCTAAGCCTCAAAGATAAAAACAAATCTGCGAAAAATCTGCCCACCCTGAAGAGTGTTGATGATATGGATGCAAAACTGAAGGGCATAGGCAAACCCAGCAAGTTCTCCAAGTTCAGCCTCTACCGGCAGCTGCACAGGCATCACCTGCAGAGCGCGGACAGCATCAGCAGCCTGGACAGCACCTCCAGTAAGGGCGCCTTCGCTAGAGCCGTCTCCGCCGCGCTGGGCCTCCTAGCCAGACGCTGTTCCCTGTTTTAGAGCCTGTCTTTCTGCGATGGGCTAAACTGACCAATCCTGAAAGGTCACTAGATCATCATACTCAACATCACGCCATCTCATGGCTTTGTCGGCCTCACTTTAGAACAGATTTATTGTTTTATTCACACAGGTCATCATAACAACCATGATTCATGCTTCTGATGGTCGCAGAATGACTAAACATTTATAAAACAATGGCAAGTTATAAAGAAAAACAAGAGTATTAGGTGTCCTTTATAAATTTTTTTAGAGAAGAAATTTTATTTCTCTTCCTCTCCAGAAATACAAGTGTTTATTCTCAAACATCAGATTTTCTACATCTCAGAAATGCACCGCTCTTTTTATTTTTAAAAATGTGTTTTTATTGACTTTTTGGAGAGAGAGGTAGAAACATTGATGTGAGATAGAACATCGATTGGCTACTGGGGATCCCACAACCCAGGCATGTGCCCTGACTGGGAATTGAACCAGGACCTCTCAGTCCATGGGCCAATGCTCAGTCCACTGAGCTACACCAGCAGGGCTATACTGCTTTTTTAAAATCTGCCTTAAAGCCCTGCAATTTTCTGTGGCAAAGAACTTGTGACTGATTTTATAGTCTTGCCTAGTTTTAAGAATGATCCAGTTTAGAAAACCTGATATAGATAGATGGATAGATAGATAGATAGATAGATAGAGTCAGCCCAGGATATAAATATAGATATAGATATATAGCTATATAAATAAATATGTTTCTTTGTACAAAGAAAAACAACTCTCAACTTTCTCCAGGTTATTGTAATCACTGTAGAAGCCGTCAGCATTTAATCCATGGTTTAAAGCCCCACTTGAAACTCTTTCGCTCTTCCACTGGTTGTGAGCAGGGGCTCGCTAGACACTCCGTGGGTAAGTGATGTGTGAAGCAGCAGCACCTTCTTAGGCTTCAGCTTGTGCTGCATGAGCAGAGTGAGTGTGTTTCTGGATTGTCTTTCTGTTCACACCATTGTCACACCATGTATATTGAGAGCAAAGCTTGGGGAGGTACACAAGGTTCCTACAATTCCGCACTGAGATAAAACATAACCCAGTAAGGGTGCAGAGCATGGTACCTGCAGGTCAGTGGTGTTCTAGCAGTTCCGTGGAAGGAGGGAGGGTCCAGAAAGATGCTCTTGAGGGGGGACCTTGGAGTTAGGTTCAGAAGTAATGTGATTGGGTAGGTGAGGATTGGAAGACGTTGCCAGTGAAGGAAATGAGGTGAGCAAAGGCACTGGAATGAAAACGCACCAAGAGCTTCTAAATGTTGGAGAATGCACCATGCTGTTGAGTTGCAGTCTGAGGTATAAGACCAGGAAGATAATGGCAGTCACATTCAGACTCCCCAACATAAATAAAGGATTCCAACCTTTATTTAGTTATGAATCTTGGAGATCGTTGAATGGAGGTGTCATACTCTAAAGGTGAATTTCTAGAAATTGTAATTTGATAACCTTTTGTGAGAAGAACCACAAACTTGAGGAATACATTTATCAGGCCTAATTTATGGTGGTGGGAATGAAGAGGATTTGGTGACAGATCAGATATAGGGACAAGCAGTCATGGTAATAAATAGCAACCATAGCAAAATCGCAGGCGAGTGTTTATGGCGTGCTAACTCTCTGAGGTCACTGCCCCGAGCGCTTGTGGGTTATCTCCTTTTTTTTTTTTTTTTTTTTTTGTGGTATGTCCCCCTAGCGGGAACTGAACCCAGGACTCTCTGGTCCACAGGCCGATGCTCAGCCGCTGAGCCAAACTGGCCAGGGCGGTTATCTCCTTTTTACAGATGAGGTCACTCAGGTGTACAAGTGATAAGTGACTTGTGCACTGAGGTTCCAGTTCATCAGCCTCCCAGCGCCCATGATTCGGAGTTGTGATTGAGCAGAGATGCGATTACTTACTGCTTCATGGCCTTTTGTTCCAGTGTGATGTTAGGAGACAGCTGAGTTAGGGCCCTGCTCACACGGCTGGATGGGAGTCACTCATGGTGGCAGAAACTAATGAGCCTCATGAATGAAGCTGGACCTTGAGCAGTGGCTCTCAGCATTCTTTAGTCCGGGACCCTGCGCTTTTAAAATGGATTATATTTAATGAACTAAAGCTTCAATGTAATTGTTCAATACGTTTGTATGTTGGAAATCATAGCATTGGTGTACATTAAAAATGAAGAAAACTGTATATGAGGAGACATTTTATTTATTTAGCATAAAGCTGGTACTTGATGTGTGTGTGGGCTCAGGGTGACTTCCAGTAATTCCTGTGCTTGATGGAGCCTCAGAGCCCAGAGACGGGGGCTGGGGGGCCTCTGGGAAGTCCGAAGAGCTGGGCCAGGGGCAAATGCAGGGCCGATATTAAAGGCAAAAGTTGGAAACAGGTCTAAGTTGTGCTTTGTAATTCCATGCGTGGCTTTGCTGCTTTAAAACTGAAGTGAAAAATGAGGTGGAGCAATGAGGTTGCCGAGCCATGAAACTGAGGGTCTGAGTCATGACTGAGTGGCCGTGTCGCTGACAGCAGCATGTGGGGAGTGGGGAAGCAGACGCCCGCCAGGTGCTGGACCCCAGCCAGCGTAGGCTGAGCATGCTGATGCCCACGGTGGTGATCTGAGGACACCGTGCGGGTGGTTTCCACGTGCTGATGGAACCCCTCCTTATAAACCGGATACATGTTCATTGCAGCATTGTTTTATTAACGGAGGGAGAAAGTCAACGACCTAAATATCCAGGAGGAGGGCGATGGTGAAGAACATACTGAGTGTTTCCTCCCCTTGAGGGATGGTGCTCTCTTAAAAGCTGTCAGTGGGGATACAAAAATACATGTATATGATTCATTTGTTTCATTAAAGAAATACTTACTCCTATAATATGCCAATCGCTGTTCTAAGTACTAGGATGTAGTGAACGAAACAGATGAAATTCAGTTAACTAGTTGGATATTAAGGATGAGAATTTTATATATAAATAGCTCATCAAACACAATATAACAGGTGGTGAGAATTATCGTGGAGAACAATAGCACAGGCAGAGGGGAGGAGTTACTATTTTACATGCAGTGGTCAGAAAATGCTTCTCCAATGAGGTGAGGTATCAACAGATCAAAAGGAAGAGAAGAATGAGGATAAGAGTGGGTCTGGGGGGACGGACGGCGTCCCAGCCAGGAGGAGCGGCATGTGTCCGGGCGGTGGAGCAGGAGGGGATCGGCGTATCCTGGTGTGGGCTGGGGGAGAATGATGGGAGCAGAGTCATTGAGGGCTGAGTAGATGGTGTAAGGTCTTGCAGCTCTTGTAAGGATTTTGGCTTTTACTTTGAGTGAGATAGACAGTCACGGGAAGGTCCTGAGCAAAGGACAACCACTGTTTGACTTACGTTTTTCCAGGCACTTTCTTCAGAGCAGACTTGGGTGACGGTACTGACCGGACAGGAATACATCTGGTGGAGCCCACAGCCTTTGCTGATGTATGGGGGATGTGAGAGGTGGTGAGGACTCTTCCCATTGACTGCAAGTTCAATTACAAGTTTAATTTTTTAATATGAAAAAAACTAATTTATAGAAAAAGGAGAGCAGAGTTCTGGAGCAGTGCTTGGCCAAGCCTGTTCCTTGGACCCTGGTGTTTCTCAGGGGTTCTGAGGAGGATATTGAACAGGTGGCCCCGGACCGCCCACCTCTACTGCTACTTGATTCAACCAGAACATCCTGCTTGTATTGTTTTATGTACTGGAGTTCCCTGTGATTTTTTTCTTTTAATCCTTACTCGAGGATATTTTTCCAAATATCTTCAGATGAAGCAGGAATGGGGCGGGGGGGACAGAGAAACATCAATGTGAGAGAGACACATCGATTGGCTTCCTCCCACATGACCCTGACCAGGGCTGGGGACAAACTGCAATGTGCCCTTGGCCAGAATCGAACCTGAGAGTCTTTGCTCCGCAGGCCAACACTCTAACTGTTGAGCCAAACTGGACAGGGCCATGTGAATTTTTGTTGGGGGAAAAAAGAGTAAGTTTATACTATTAATAAAGGAAGTTTATAGAGCATAGCAATATATATATATATATATATATATATATATATATATTTATCAATCCTCACCTGAGGATCTTTTTTTTCCCATTTATCTTCAGATAAAAGTGGGAAGGAGTGGGGCGGGGAGAGAAAGAGAGAGAGAGAAAGAGAGAAAGAGACATTGATGTGAGAGAGACTCATCAACTGGTTGCCTCCCACACGACCCCGACCAGGGCCAGGGACCTAACTGCAACAAAGTACGTGGCCTTGGCTGGAATCAAACCCGCAGCTTCTTGGTCTGCAGGCCAATGCTCTAACTGCTGAGCCAAACAACAGCCAGGGCCATAGCTCCATATTTAAATCATATAATGACTTAAACCTATGTTGTTCTATAGGACTTGGAACCCAAATTAAGCATAGAGTAACTCTTCATTAGAAATTAGAAAATGAATTCTGCTGAGTTAATGACTTCCTTTCCTGAGGCTCTGAACTGTGGTAGCTTCTCTGCAATGTCAGTTTCCCTTGAATGCACCAGACCCTGATGAACTGGTGCCCAGTGACCCTCCTGGGTGGTGTACGCATCAGTGTGGAGTGTGGGTGCAACATCACTGTGAGTCTTCAAGTAGAAAGACTGCACTAATGTCAGTTCATCTTAAATGTGATCAGTAACTGATAGATTTCTGTAGTACATATTTTAGTTCAAAATCACTCACCCATCTTCAAGATTTTTTTTTTCTTTCAAAATTATATTGCAAGAGGGAGAATTTCAAATCAACATAGCTTTGATCAATACTTGGTCATTTAAAAGGGTTGAATTTTGGTTCTCTTATCTCCAGTGACTGTTGCTGATCTTTTTCTTTTAAGCAAGATTAAATAGATGGCTGAGAGGGGAAATCATTTTTGCAGTCAAGTCGAGACAGGTTCTCTTCACGTAAGAAACATCCAAAGCTGTAGAGAATTTTTATGAAGTTATCTGAGCCAAACTGACAACAATGGCCAGGAAGCGAAATCTCAATGGATGGAGAGAATGTTCTGGAGAACGGCCGTTTTGCAGTTTATTTTGTACGTTACAATGAAAGGAGGAGGTGCAAGGGGGGTTACGTAAAGTCCCTCCGGGGCAGAGTAGGGAGGTGGAAGAAAGCAAAGTGGGGAAATCTCAGCCACGGGATAAACGTAAAATGAAATGACAAATACTTTTTTTATATTGGTGGGTGTAGGATCGCTAACAACGAGCATCTGTGGCACGTGGGGATGGTGTGCAGAGGAACAAGATAACAAGGAGGGGTTCTTCTGCTCTGTGTCCTGAGCCGTCTGAAAAAAAGGGACGACTCTGACATTCCAAAGATATGTTATGGTAGACGGAAAACAGTGGACGGGCTCGGTGAAGGTAAACATTGACTTCTGTCAAGGAAGACCCAGGCCTAGGACACGACTGGTTAAGGCGTGTTCATTTCAGACCATCCTGTGCGGTTCCTTTCGGTCTCGGAGTTTGTGAGGCCACGACGCAGACCCCCCCTGAGCCCGTCAGGTTCGTCTGCGGCCCCTTTGTCCTCCACATTTCAAACTCAGATATCTAATCATCAGGGATAATGAATAGTGGGTTGTTTCTAGACGCTGCGTTGAGGGATGCAATGATATAGATGTATACGACTTATTTTCTGCTAGCAAAGAACTTATCTAATAGATAAAAATCAATTTGAAATATTTTGCTAACCTAGTACCTTAGTAATCCACCCGGGGGAGATGCCCTGACCGACAGGCGTTGTCAGTGAAGCCTCTCCACCAATGTAGACCTTGGTCCACAATTCCAAAATCCAAAGTTTCAAAAACCAAAAGATTAAAAATATATATATATATAACTCATTGAGGACCTGTTTGGGAACTGGCTTGAATATAGGTAGACATTCAGTAGGTAGAGACCAAGAAGGGAGAAAAACAGGCATTTCAGGTAGATGTTATATCTTAAGACAGATGCAGAAAATGCTGAAAGTATGTATTTCAGACCTAGGTATGGAGTGTGGTGAATACACAGAGGCCCACCATCTCACGCGACGTTCTGGGGGTCAGACGTCCGTCAGAAATCAGGAGTTCTGGATTTCAGAAGTGAGAGGAGCCCTGGCCGGTTTGGCTCAGCGGTTAGAGTGTCGGCCTGCGGTCCAGAGAGACCCGGGTTCGGTTCCCGCTAAGGGCATGTACCTTGGTTGCAGTTTGTCCCCGGCCCTGGTTGGTTGTGCGGGTGGCAGCCACTCGATGTGTTCCCTTCACATCGATGTTTCTCTCTCTCTCTGTTCCTCTCTCTCCCTCCCACTCTACCTGAACAAAAAATGGAAAAATGTCCTCGGGTGAGGATAAAAAAAATAAATAAATAGAAGTGAGAGGATTCTGGGTTTCTGAAATTAGAAGATTCTGTACACTAGATGATGTTATAGTCTTTGCAGGGTCCAGGAAATACCCTGTAAGCAAATCATTTATGTTTGTGTCACACCAAGTAGAGTCAGTAAAGATCATAACCTGTTGTCAGTTCAGGTCAGGTTTTGCCAACAAATGAACCGTGAAAAAAATTTTTTGATTTTCAGAGCTTTTGGGTTTTGGAATTGTGGTTAAGTGTTAATTAATTTGTATAGATTGGGCTGGTGGGATATATCTGTACCAGTGTATGGAGGGCCTTGAAAGTCAGGCTGAGACATTGAATCTCACCCAGAAAATATTGGGGAATCCTGAGGGGGGGGGTAAGCGTAAGAGGGGGTGGGGGGTGGGGGGTGGGGGAGATAGGGTGGTGTTTTACCAAGTTATGCTAGAGACTGTTGTAACCCAGGAGAGTCATCCTCACTCAGACATCAAGTAATTTTGAATATTAGGAGCTTTATTACCTGCGCAGGGACTGCAGCCAACCTACACAGAGGAGAACTGCAGCCCCGAGCTCAGGGGGAGGGTTGCTTATATAGGACAGGGGTTACTCAAGAGTTTAGCAGAGCAAGCAAGCTACGTGTACAGAAGCAGATATCAGCAGTTAGTAACTGCACAAGTTGTTTATTTTATATTTCTTAACATTTACTAGACCTTAGCCTTGAATGTCTCATTGCCCCGTCTGGCATCTCCTGATTAGTTAAGCTCATGGTCAATACCCTCCTCTTCAAGAATTTTTGCAAAAACAACTTGGGCTCAAGGAACCCAGGAGAAGTTCCTTCTTCTAGCAGATGGAGAATTAGTGGGTTATAACAAGACAAAAGGAGTCTGACCAGCTTGTTCCAGTGGGCCCAAGAATGAGGTGAATGGGACAATCTCTTTCCCAAGGTGAAATCAGAATTTTCATAGGATTTGGCAAGTGGTGATGGGGAGGTGGGTAGACAAGGTAGTGAAGAAGAGGAGCCAACGGTGATTCTGAGGTTTGAACATGAGTAAGTTGGACCAGGAAACAGAAATCTCAACGGAGGACTTGATTTTGGGAATGATAATGATTCTAGTGTTACATGTGATTTTCAAGTTCTGGTGAGGCTGCTAGGTGGACAGGGTCAAGTGAGGCACTGGAAGAGGCTATAGACCTGGAGTCCAAAAGCGAAGCCAGGGCTAGAGAGGACATTCAGAAGAAAGTGCGAGAAAACCTTGTTTGGGAGGAGGAGCTAGCAAAGATCAGGAGGGCTTGTTGGAGTAATGGTAGGGGAATGCAGCCTTGGAAGCCAAGAGATGAGAGAAAAAAGGAGGAAAAGCCAGAAGGCACCGGGGGAGGGGCAGAAAGACACCCTTTCCCTGAACTTGAGCAGCTAGAGTCTGGGCCACTGACGACGGATAAGGATTGCAGAAAACTGGCATGAAAAACTTGTGCTGAAAGACAAGGCAGGTGCAGTTATGAAATCAACTGGGAACCAGGTACCGACTGATAGAACCCCTCAGATCAGCGCTGCTGATGTTAAGTTCTGTCTTCCTGCTCATGGGTGCTAACACAACTCTGAGCAACAATCGTGGTGACTAGGAGTAGATGGCTCTTGCCTTAATATTTCATTTGTTCGTAGGAGGGCCCTAATTTATGTGGAATAGTTGGGGCTATGCCTAAAAACAAAAACAAATTTGAATTATGAGCAGGTTGAATTCAATTAGCACCAAGACAATTTTCTGAGACTAAGAATTTTCTTGGTTTTGTTTTTCTTAATACTGGTTGTTAGGTGAAAGTTAATTTTTAAACAAGTGTATGTGTGTGTGCGTAAAACTTTAGCTTAGAGTTTTTCGATTGATATAAACCAACCTTCCTCCCTCCCTCCCTCCCTCCCTCCCTCCCTCCCTCCCTCCCTCCCTCCCTTCCTTCCTTCCTTCCTTCCTTCCTTCCTTCCTTCCTTCCTTCCTTCCTTCCTTCCACAAAGTGCCATGCTTACTGTAAAGGTGAGCACACAGACCTGCCAGTGCTTTCGACTCAGTCTTGTGGAGCAGGAAAATAAATCACTGGGAGAAGTCAAAAAAATTATGTCTTTAACATTTCAGTTCTGTTCATCTTTAGCTCTATAAGACATTTTTCTTTTATAGAAAATTTCAATGAACTTTGAAGCTAATTACTTAGTTTGAGATAGACTATTAGCAGTGTGGGGTTGATTGTTTAAAAACATTTGCTCAGGAAATACTTATTGATTGCCTACTGAGTGCCAGGAGCTACACTAGGCAGGGAGGGGATGCACCCCCACCCAAAGGGTTTATAGATGAGTGGGGGCAGGGAGGGAGCACCCTTACACAACCATGACACAGCATCAGAGGCACTGGGATGAGCACCTATTAATGGTTCTGCAGCAGAGCTAGTGACTGCCTGTCCTTACTGGGGCCTGGGGGCATCTCTAGGGCATGTGACAGCTCTGTGGCTCCCGAAGGATGTTGAGATCAGGACGAGAGGGAGAGAAGAGCATTCCAGGCCAAAGGAATAGTGTGCCAACTGTACAGAGGCATGGCAGACTGGGCCTGTCAAAACACAGAGAGAAAGGTGATGTTCATGGGACCTGGGCCATGTGGGGAACAGCAAGGGCATGAGATAGATTGGTACCAGTTTGGGAAGAATCTTCTATGCACACTAAGGCCTTAGGATTTGACCCTGTGTAGGCAGTGGGTGATCCTGGAAGGCTTTTCAAAGCAGGAGTCTGCATTTTAGAAAGACAGTTCTGGTACCTATGTTGGTAGGGAGACCAGTTCAGTCTTCTCACTGGCTACTGCCCGTGGTACCATTTATTCATTCAGCAAATATGTTTGCATCCAATGTGTATTTGTTAAGTGCTTCCTTGTGCCAAGCGCTGCCTGTGTTTTGTAGTTCTGCTAGCCTTCCTGCTTCGTTGTCTCTGTGGTCACTGTAGCCCAGAAACATGCAGACAACTGAAGTCAAAGTATTCACCCCAGAGTAAAATTGTCCCAGCAAAGCTCTTTGTGAAATGTTGCAGTAGATGGCTGCTTGTGTGCATGTATAGTCATACGTGTGGTTGGGATGACTTTTCTGGTTGTCATTTATGGTTTTAGGAATATAGAATGTTAGAGCCCGAAAGACCTTAGATGTCGTCTAGGCCAAATTCTTCATTAATGGTGAAGTTCAGTGTCACTTATCTGGTTAATTCCAGGGCTGGAATGTGAGCTGTTTGCAAATTTGAGGTTCTTGCTTTTTGAGATGCAAACAACAAGAATTATATATTAAGTGTTCACCATATTGATCGAGCAGAGAGAAGGGCATAACTTCTTTATATCCCCTGCATCCATGTTCTCTGCATGACCCAGGGCTTTACTGCTCTCGCAGAGTCCCGCCTAGCAAGTTCTTTACTCACAGTTAACCCTGTAACCTTTTCTTCCCGTGATCTGGCAGATGGTAAACCTAAGGATGTCAAATTTCATTGTCACATGGTGAAATTCGTTATAACCCCAACTGCCCATATTGATAAACTTACAGATTAGAAAACCTTGTCAGCCCACAGCCTCAGGTGGAATAGACACATGCTACCCTAGTTATGAGTCTTCAGAAGAAAAGTTAAGAAGTCTTTAGGTGTTTTGTAAATGAGCCGAGCTCCCTCCCTGGCCACCTGCACACAGTCTGACGGCGCGTGCTGTGTTCACAGACACGGGCTCCATCCGCAGTCTGCAGACAGGCGTGGGAGAGCTGCATGGGGAAACCCGATTCTGGCATGGGAAGGACTACTGCAATTTCGTCTTCAAAGACTGGGTCCAACTGGATAAGCCTTTTGCCGGTGAGTACCCTGGTAGTGGATGGCTGCTTGTATTTTGTCTTTTTACTTGTCAATGTCTGTCAGGTATGCAACTGCATGATCTGATGTTTTGTTTACCTTTGAATATTTGGTGAAACTTTGGAGACTGTGTTTCAGTCATATAATTAAGGGCTGCTTATAGTTATAGTAAGAAAACAAATATGAAATAGAGCTTACATGTTTGAAACCACTGGTTTTATATAGGCATATTTGGGGAGTAATAATCTGTCATTCTCCAAGGGTGGTACAATCTCTTTGATCATCTCCTCTTCTGCCTAATCATCTTCATTTTTATTATTAAAATGACCTATGTTTAGATTATCACTGTGCTTCTGTGTCTAAGAGGAGATGGAGATGGCACTGCATATGTAGCCTGACATTATTTCAACGGGACAAAAGAGGGAAATGTAGTATCAAGTCCACAGCCTTAGATCATTTGACCAGCTCACATCTTACCTGGCCTAGTGACTAACACTAAGTGAAATGGAAACAAATTTGGGGAGGTACATGGGAGACTGTGTTCCTCAACATGAGATTCCTCAACATGAGATCTGTGTGTCACTTGGTCATTAAGGGATTGCATCACCCAATCCAAGAAATAGACCCATAGTGGACATTACCACGTTTCCTTTGACTTACCATAGGTGGGGTCGGCCCTGGTGTCAGATGGCTTCTGTCTCTGGCAGAGAAATTAGTGATGATTGTTGCCTGGTGCACCTGGGCAGATTTCATTGACAGGTACGCCACCCCCCGGATGCCATGGCATGATATTGGCTCTGTGGTCCATGGGAAGGCGGCTCGTGATGTGGCACGTCACTTCATCCAGCGCTGGAACTTCACCAAGGTACATGGATGGTCTTACCATGATTCAGTCCCCATAAAGAGAGACAGGCCTGGAAGAAGAGAAACCTGGAGGCTTGGCAGGAAGAGGCTACGGCGACCATAACTGGGCCATTCGTCTGCTGTTGGGAGTCTGGTTGTCAGAGCACCTGGGTCTCTGGGAAAATGAAAAAGAAAATGTTCTTGAACTTTCACATAACAGATGAGTTAGAGCACAGAGGGATAGATGCTATGATCAGGGCCAATGGTTTTAACATCTTGGCTGCTCAGTGTTGATTAAGCACCTGGTCTGGGCTGGTAGTCATCTGGAGGGCTATGTAGGGGGACAGGAGTCTTGTTTAGGTGGGAGAACTCAAACTTCCCAGTGCTTCCAATCCTGGCATTGCACTGGGTTCATTCTGGGGAGGAGCTCTGAGCAAGGTGAGCAGGATGAGAAGATGTAGCCATTTTATTTTTATCCTGATTGTGTCTTCTTTAGCATGCCTTCATTGGGGAATTTGACCTAACATTCATAAGTTAAGTACTTATCATCCAGATGTTACTAAGGCTCCATTTTATTTATTTGAAATGTTGATGAGTCATTCATTATTCTTGCCAAAAATTCAGAAAAAGACTGAGTTTTATCAACAACTTAAGGTCTCATCTTATTTTTCATTTACATAGCAGTATATACAGTGGGAGCTCTTAGAAATAATGGGAGTATCTTTAACAAAAATTTAGGGACATGAATGAATAAACAAAGTGATACTATCTTTAACCTACTAGACAAGCAAAGATTAAAAAACAAAACAAAACAAAACACTGCTAATACCTGCAACTGGGTTTTGAATTTTTGGTGTTCTTATACCCTGCTTCTGAGGGGTAAATTGGTATAACACTAAAAAGGTTTAAATTTATTTAAAGTATTTTTTTTTTTAATTGATTTTTTAGGGGGAGAGAGAGAGAAACCTTGATTGGCTGCCTCCTGCACTCCCCGTACTGGGAACTGAGCCTGCAACCCAGGCATGTGCTCTGACTGGGAATCGAACCGGGACCTTTCAGTTTATGGGACGATGTTCAATCCACTGAGCCACACTGGCCAGGCCTAATAAAGCTTTTTAAAAGGCATATAATTTTTGACTCAGAAAATATTTTTCAGGTATTTAAGTTAAAGAAGTAATTCAATAAACTAATTAATTTTGACAGCTTCCAATAATTCAAATAAAGTAAGAAATAACTGAAATGTGCATTAATAATAATTTATTAAACAAATCAGGATTTTTTTCATATCACTTGACACTGATGTTATTTAAAATGATATGTAGTGCTATATTGCTGTTGCAAGAGGTCTGCCACATAGTAAAAAATCAGTTTACAAAAGAGTAACCCCATGTTTGCAGTTATATACCTCTATAACTCTAGATTATATATAAGCTTTCTTTTAAAATACAAAGAATACATGCCTACTGCAAAAGGGGAAAAAGGGGGAAAAGGAGTTCTCCACCTCTGGGAAATAGAAAGAAAACAAAAATAATCTATCTCTTCCCCTAGAAACCTCTACTGTTAACATTTATTTTTCTGTTTCAAATGAACCTGAATTTCTTTTATAATCACAAAATGTGGAAGAATGGAAGTGTTTTCTCATTTGAAATGTTTTACCTGTTTTTATTTATTTTAGATTATGAAATCAAAATATCGGTCCCTTTCTTATCCTTTTCTGCTTCCAAAATCTCACACAACAGCCCATGAGTTGAAATATCAAGTGCCTGGGTCCGTCCCTGCTAATGTACAGGTCAGTCTTGCTTTGGTTTCTCACAAAGTGCTACTGGGTAAAAATCATTCTTTCTGGACCAAGTGCCTATGAACATTGGTTTCACTCACATTTTTGAATAAGGAAAACTCCAAAGAAAACTTGAGTGGATCTTTTAAAATTTAGTATTATATTTCATATTTTAAACATATTTAATTTTTTCCTCTTTCCAACACTCTTTTATAACTATAATAAATACATGTCGTTAGAAAAGGCCAGTCAAGGAAAGGCTTGTTTTATAATTTCTTCTGAATGGACCCTAGCAACATAATCCATAGTAAACCTGAGACTGATAACGGTTAAACACCAGGAATGTGGCTGAAACTTTGCTGCAAAGCTAGTTATAGATCAGTTTAATTTTAGTTCCTCATTAACCAAATGCTTCTTAGAGGCTCTTCTCATAGCAAAAGGAAGTTGGTTAACAATGTCACAGAATTTAGTGCATTCAGTCCAACCATCTCAAAAGAGAATTAATTCAGTCGGGCTAAGAAACTTATCCAGGGACACCTGGTTGGTGATCAGTAGAGACACACCTTTACATCCTGTTCTAGTCCATTGTTAGCCAATCAGCTCCCTTTCCTAACATTGGCCCAAATGTCTCGAGATCATTCAGGGACAGAACTGCGGTGGGCCACCTGGAGCACTGGTGTGTTTTCAGCCATCACTATCAGTATGAAAAGTATTGTTTAAGTAAAGATCCAGCAGTTTGCAATTGACATCACTAGTCTGGATTTACATAATTTGGACATGGGTTCTGGGGAATATGATTATATGAATGAAATGCCTAACTCAGCTACTCTGTATTATGTGCAAGTAAGTACAGGTGTCTGTATATAAGAAATAAAAAGACATTTTAGACCATAAGTCAAATAATAGAACAACCAAGAAGATAAACCACTTAGGAGAAATACCTATAGCAAATACTTAGTTTTCCCAGGCTAAAGGAGACAACTAATTTAAACTTAGAGGCACAGGTATATATATTTTCCTATGTAAGTTAATGAATATTTTATGAACCTGTTTAATTTTGTTCAACTTGAAGGGAAAAATTACCCATGCTGTGAGATAAAATAGGAGCCTTGATATTAAAAAAAAAAACAAGAGAATTTAAGATTTGAGATGGCATTAAAATTGATTCAGTGATCAGCTTACCAAAGTTAGCAGATGCTAATTAAGCATCTGTTGGAAAGGCATTGCTAGGAATTGTATATTGTCGTGATCAGCAAAGGATCCCAGAGCTCCATATACATACATCTTCCAATGACTGTTGGTAAAGCCCTGCTTCACCTGTTCTCATTTGGATGCCCTGGTAAGGCAGATAGAAACTCTGCATGTCCACTCTACAAAATACCTCCTGTGGTTCACCTTCTCCGCATCACAGGATGTTGTATTAGAGATGGGACTAGATCAGTTATCCCTCCTGTACGCTCATATGTTCATCCTTGATGTGCTCAGGTGGACTGGACTCAGGAACCTACAATGCCAATTAATTTGAAAATAAGTTTATCAAGACTCACTCATTCATCAGTTCATTTATTCAGTTCATTTATTCATTTATTTATTAGGTGCCATCTGTTTGCACAGTGAAGTCGTAAGTGTGTACACTTGGATGCTGAGGAAACAGAGAGAAAAGGGATTCTTTGCCTCCAGAAATGTAGTTAGCCAGGGGAGAGAAAGCTGTGATGTTAGAGAATCCAGATAACAATGCCAGGTGTGGTCTAGGGCTGAATGCTGGTATGAAAGAATGGACCAGCACGCTGTGAGAGCTTGGCAAATGAAAGGGAGAGAAGTGGGGGTCCCCTCTCAGGAACAAGCCTGCCTGTTCAGATGATGGTAAAACTGACTACAGTAAACCACTTGCTTTAGAAAAAGTGGTAGATGAAGGTTGGATGGTATAACGCCTTGGAGTGCTGGCCTAGTTGATTTAGACCTGATCAGGGAGATGTTATTGAACTTTGGGACTTGTCCATCCACGAAGAAGTGTTATGCATGAATGTTTTATAAAGGTTAATCTGATTGGAGTTTTCCAAACTGGATTTTGCCTGTAAAATACTAATAGCTATTCTACCAAAATCAATTTTTCCCCTATAGACAGATACATTTTTGCAGATTTAAAACAATAGGATTTCTTCGTGCCTTTGTTATGCTGATGTATATCACAAAATCACTGAGTGAATATACTGAGAATTTCCCAAGTTTAAATGACTGAGGATCTCTCATTTTAATAAACACATTTTGGGACTGAAAGCTTATACACATGAAGAACTTACTAGACTGGAAAGATAATAAAAGCAGGAGACAAGCAAAGAAGCTGTTACACTAATTCAAGCATATGCTAATTTTGCATTTGTAAGTTAGTATCATTTTTCTTAATGAGAATTCCCCTGCACTTTCCAAAGAGTCAGACCTCACAAAACCTGGATCCTCACTGATCGCCAGTTAATGTTTTTCAGAGCTTCCAAAATAACTCCAGATGTGGAAACAGTGGGGACAGGTAAACAGTGTGCACCTTTAAAAACACGATAGTCTGAGATGAACAGAAACTGAAAATGAAAAGAACTGTGCTTCATTTCTCCCTGTTGGTCAAGTTCTGACCACAGTATTGTTTCACTTCACATGATTTACGGGCTCTAAACTAATTCATCTTGTTCTTGACATTACTGTTTTGAGGTCAGGAACATATAGTGCCTAGAGAGCAAAAGCAATAATCCGGCCCAATCCCTGGTTTTCCATAGAACCCAGAAGGGTGCAGGGAGCTAGGACCTGGCTATGTAGGCTACTTAATTTTTAAAGGATTTATTATCATATTTTCAAGACTTTCATTCTCTTAGCTATCATCTGGCAATAGCCACGTGATTGTTACACACCTTGGTTGAGGACTTAATAAAATTCTTCCTTTGGTTTATTCTTTTTAACATAGATTTAAACATAGTTTATAGCATAATATACTGTTCATAACATAACTTAGAGACTGCAAGCTTCATTAATTAAAAGGTAGCAATATAAAAAAGTAGCAGGGGGAAGAGGCAGATTCTAGAGTCAGTGTTCAGATCCTAGTTTTGCTACATACTAGCTGTGTAACTTTGGGAAACTCACTGTACTTCTCTGTATGCATTGCCTTCATCTATAAGATAGGGATCCCGATAGTATCTGTCCATAGGGTTGTGATGATGGTTAAATTAAACCAATCCATGCAAAGCACTGAGAGAGTACGCTTGTTTGAATTATGTCAATGTTAGCTGTAGCTTTCAAGCTCTCCCTAGTATTTTTCAAAGTTTGCAACAAAGAAGTTGACATTTCTCAGGAAGAGTCACCAGGCTAGTTCTAGATACAAAAATTTTATACCATATATATATTGAAATGGAGAGACAGAACATTTTTAAAGTTAATAATAGATAAAATTCATGTTATTCCTTTATCTGCAGAAGGAAACCCAGTTATTTAAATTTTTTAATTAAAAACACACACACACTGGGCTCAGTCCTCCTGGGTCACAGATCGCTGGTAATTCCACACCAGCCATCCTGCACAGCTGTTGCAAAGGCTCACAGCCACGGGGGACCAGCGCTATGGCGAAGCCAGAGCCCCGCCCCCACCCACATGAATTTCTGCTTCTGAAAGTCGTCCACACCTGAGGGCTTACTTCAGCAGCTTCCACAGACACTTTGAGATAATCTTGTGTGTTTCCTCTCAGTGCTGGGTATTCTCAGAAGCCTCCTAAGGGTGCTCAAAAAAGACGTAACAGGAGAAAGGTGTAAGGACAGGGGCTGGAGTAATGATGGTCCTGAAACTGCTTATACAGAGAATATATTAAAAAAAAACTCTTCTCCCTAAAAGGAACAAACTAGATTCTTAAATGTCATCATTACCTCTTAAGATAAATGACCCAGAGGACATTTGACATATCTATTAAAGTAAAAGAAAATCAGTAATGCCAAAATAACATCAATTTAGAATCAATACATGGAAAAACTCCTTTTTATTACATTGGGCAGCTTATTGCAGAAAATACATTTCTTAGAAAATCATTTCCTGGAAGTCCTACCAAGCTGAGGGAAATGATTCCTCTGGGGTCATCTCTTTAATCTCTTTCTCTATTGAAAAAGGAACAAAAGGAAATAGGCAAGTGTGAATGATATTCGGATTACACGAGTGGGGAAATTTGTTCCCACGCTTGGGGGAGATGTCTGAAGGGCACCCTAAAGGATGTCCATGTAGGAATGAATGTAGCTTTTCTAGGACAGCAGAATGTATTGTGATAGAATAGAGCAGGTATGCCAGGGTTAAGGAAAACCATGGAATTTATTTCCAAGAATAACACGGAAGCTGTTTTCCATTCGTGAACCAGGTCTTCAGTCTGTAACACTGCCATGTGCCACTGTGGGTCCTGCTCTGGCTGAAGCCACATGAATGGGGACTGGTGGCCCCAGGCCCAGCGCTGTACTAAACTTACGTGGATTATCTCATTTCATATGTCACCAGTCTATAAATTGTACTCCTGATCTATGCCTTGTTGTTACAGATGAGGAAACTAAGACTTTGCGAGGTTAAAATAACAGTGAGTGGTGGGGATGAGAGTGGATTCTAAGCAGGCTGAGTCCAGTGCCTGAGGGCATAGCTGTTCAACCTAGACTGTTTCCAGTAAGACCCTGATGGATGCAGGCACCAGGGTCTCTAGCAAGACACAGCTGAATGCCAGGCTTGCCTTGTGGGTTATCTTCTGTTGCTACAGCCCCAAATCCAGCCCCACCAATCTCTTTGCTTCTTCCTGGCTCCCTAGACCCCTTAAGTATACCCTTTTTTTTTTTTTTGCCTGGGACTTCACTTCCCTTAAGTCTTATTCTTCAAAAATTGTATTTTCTCCCTCTCCTTTAGCCTTAAGTTTAAGCGTTTCCTTTCGTACAGGCCAGAGGATCCTCCTACTTGAATGGTTGCACACTGTGATGGGCATGTATGACGCCTACAGAGCGGTTCTTAGGAGGAGGAGCACGAGCCCGGGCAGGTTCTTGAACTAAGCGCCTGTCTCGGTGCTTCCTACCCGCTACGTGCTCAGTGCAGACGGAAGACTAGGCCGGGACCGGAGCCCCTCTAGGCCGAGACCCGAGCCCCTCCCCTTCCTCCATGCCACCTGGGCATCCGGTGATGCCGGCTCCTGCTTGAGAGACGCACGGACGTGCTCTTATCCCAGCAGTCTTCACTCCCTGATTGGCCTGGAGCTTAGGGAAATAAAAGGAATTCCGCGCTGTATTAACTGGGAATACAAGCATTACAGCAATAGAAAAGGAATTTGGGGCAAATACAAAGAAAGTGTTGAAAGTGTTCCTTCAAGAAGAGATTTCCGAATTGCAGTCCATAAACTCAGCTTGGGTCCACTGTATGCTAGGGCCCAAGACAAGGCTATCTGTTAAGTTAAAGACTGAGAACTACAAGGGAAGTGACTGGTGCTAGTTACAATTCTGAGACTAATGCATAAAATTGGAAATAGGCCCTTTTATTTTAAAGTTGTGTCTTCAGACTTGAGATCTCAGAAGTGTGGGGGAGACATTCTCAGCGTACTTGCGGCATAAGATAAACCACCCTTCTGGGTGTCTAAGGAGCGTGTTTCAGTTACTCTGGTTTAAAACAGAAATTCGAGACAGATTGGTTAGGCCAGCTAAGCAAAAGGAGAGTGTAGATCTTAATTTTAAAACAAAAGAAAGTCAATCAAAATGTGTTTGACGTATTTGGCTGTTTACAAACTTTCTAGCCGACAAAGTATTTAAAGAGTTGAGTTGATTTGATTGTCACCTCAGGGTTCAGTCGCTCAGGGGCAGAGGCAGAGCAAAGACAGATTTGTATTTTTTTAATTGATCTTGTGGTGATAGAGTTCAAATAATTAGAATGACAGTAAATGAACCATAATCCCAAGTGAATTTTTTCAGTATTACTTGAAAAGATATGTTCGGCTCTAACCAAAAACAATGGCAGAAGTTTTCATTGTGAAAGAATGAGACAGGATTGGATTCAGACAGTGGGAGAGACAACTCTGAGCTGTCTTAGGATATAGGACCTCTCACAGTTTTACAGGCCCGGGGGCCTCCATTTGGCTTATGCTGTCCCACAGGCTGATGACAGCATGCTTTTCATTTGATTTTCAGATGTACTTATTTTAAACATCTAAAAGCTTCTGGAAAGGAAAATGTTTACCATTATCCCTCACAGGAGAGATGGCAAATATGTGACCTTCGTGCTTCCCCTTCAAGGTGGTCGTTGGGCATCAGCCTTAGATTTCTAACCCAGGGTGTCTAGTTGTAACAGTCTTTTCTTCAACTAGCTGTCCAGGACGCCACTGCACACCCATTAGACTTCACCTGCAAGTTGAAACCTATGTGACGCTCCTAATGTATATCTTCTTTTTTTTTTTAAATCCCCACCCAAGGATATTTTTCTGTTTATCTTCAGATAGAGTGGGAGGGAGGGAGGGAGAGAGGGAGAAACATCAATGTGAGAGAGACACATCGACTGGTTGCCTCCTGCATGACCCCGACCAGGGCTGGTGACAAACTGCAACCGAGGCACGTGCCCTTCACTGGAATTGAACCTGTGACTCATTGGTCCACGGGCTGATGCTCTAACTGCTGAGCAAAATTGTCCAGGGCCTAATTTATATCTTATGTGAATGAGTTTATTAAATCTTTGAATCAGAGAAAATTTTGAGTGAGAAAGGAAGGAAAATATAAGGTTTCTGGATTTGAAGGAAAGACTAAGAATTTACCACCAAACACTGCCTATAACTTTTCAGAGGTAGATATCCCATAGATGAAATATCTCCTAAGTGCGACATATCAGAGCTCTTTGTGTTTGTCATGCCCATTTTTTCTTCATAGCAGCTCTCTGTGGGTGTCTGTGTCTAAGGGGAGAGAGGGAGAGAGGTCTCAATTTTGTAATTGGGGAAACTGAGCCTCATGATATTAAAAGCGATTTATTCAAGGTGAAAGAGCTAGTTAAGTGCTATGACTTACTATAAAACACAGATCTCAAGAATCCCTATCTTTCCAGCACACTTTACAATTTTATACCTTATTTCCAGAGTTATATAGAATTAGATCAGTATGTGTGGTGTGAGAATCTTCGAGGTAGCCTACATTTCCAGGGTTATGCACCTTAGCAGCCAAATTCAGCATAAATTTGAGTGGACTAAGAATTAAAACTTTCATTTGTTCAACCTTTGTTATTTCTACTAATGGACAAAAATGCAGTTCCCTGGGGATGATGGGAAATCAAGATATTTTTCTGGTATGGATCATATTTATCTAAATTTTTCTTATGAATTTTCTTTTGAGATATTTGACTATTTCTGTTCACAATTATATTTTCCAATTTTATGGCACATACTCATCTGATAAAATTAAATAAAGTGCTTTGTGGGGAGCTATTTTGCAATAAATACCTCATACTGAATAACAAAATTATGTTTTGAGGATGGCACAGTCAATGATTTTAGTAAGTATTAAGTTTGAGTTTTAGTAGCCTTATAGGTACGACTAAGTTATTGAATAGAGCAAGAATTGTACCAGATCATTTATATCAGTGTGGGCAAAAGTGAGCTTATAGTTGTTCATATGGAAAAAGACATGCCAATTAACTAACTAATAATACAAGAATAAGCTCTGTTTCACATACTCACAATTGTAAACCTACTTTTGGCTACCCCTGTATAACAGACACAATTGATTATGAATTGAACGGTTTTATATATTCCTAACAAGTGTAGGCCATTCTTTTATTTTCAATTTCTGTTGACCTCATGAAGCACAGCTTCAACATTCATTTCGAATCAGGAATAGCAAATCTATTTTCTCTGTGTGTGTGTTAATCCTCATCCGAGAATATTTTTCCATTGATTTTTCTAGATAGAGTGGAAGGAGGGCGGGGGGGAGAGAGAGAGAGACATTGATATGAGAGAGACACATCAATTGGTTGCTTCCCACATGACCCCAACCAGGGCCAGGGGTTGAACCTGCAACCAAGGTATGTGCCTTTGACTAGGAATTGAACCCAAGACCTTTGGTCCTTGGGCCAATGCTTGCTCTAACTGCTGAGCTAAACCAGCCAGGGCCAAATCTATTTTCATAGTGATTCTTATGTGATGGCCTGCTATTACTTAAGGAAATTCAATTAATAAGTATTTATTGAGCACCTACTATATGCCCAACATCGTACTGCAATACTAGTTAGAAAACTGGGGAAAAATGACAGCCAATGGTTTCTTCGTGTTGAAAAGCCTTCTGGGTCATCTAGAGTGTCCTCCCACAGTCTGCTCTGCAGCATCGCTGACATGGTCTGCCATCACTCACACACATCCTCTAAAGTTCACATTAGTAATAGCAAACACTCAGTACACACGCTTACTGGGTGCCAGGCCTCCTGCACACTCCACAGTAACTCACCTAATTCTTTCTACAACCCTATAGAGTAGATACTCCATCTTACAGAGCAGAAATCTGAGGCACAAAGTGGTTAAGAAACTTGCCCAAGATCAAGCCACCGAGTGGCTGAGCTAAGCTTTGAACGTAGGCAGCCCTGCTCTGTGTCAGTGTATTTACGATACGCTCAGGTGTCTGAGCTGGAAGCTCTCACGGTAATCTGGGCAGGAGCAGGTGCGTGTCTGAGCAAGGGAGGCCGTGTGAGCGAGGAAGCTGAGGGCTGAGGTGACACGCCAAGGGTCAGACAGCTAATTAGAGGTAGACTCAAGATTAGATGTCTAAATGAATCTATTTGTCTTTTACATTATTTTCATCTGAACAGTATCTATTTGGGGGGAAAGGAATAATCCCAGTATCAAGTCAGAGCTAGGGCAGCCACATCATGTGGTTCATACCAGTGCACTCTGGGGAGAGAAAGTGGTACACCAGGCGTTCCGGCGTCATTGCGGAACCATCACGTAGAAGGAGTACAAACAGTCACCCCACTCAGCCACCAGAAGAGGTACTTCTGGAATACTCTTGTTAGAAGCACCTCACGGTTTCCCATTTTGACTGATAATTATACTTGGAAGAAGAAATATTCACTACTTGATTGCAAGCTGGGCTCCATCGTTATGGGTTATGTCTGAGGATGGCTCCCCACCCACCTGCTCTCCTCGGACCCACACATGCCACTCAAGCCTCTGTATTCATGCAGTTGTTTAAAAGCAAAAGGATTGACTTCATTGTAGCAACACACCTGGTGTCGTCCCCATTGTCTGACGTCTGCTCGTTTCTGATTGCTGCCCGTAGTTGCTTCGCTCCGCTGCTGATTGGTCTGCTGGGATCAAGTACCATGAAGAGTCCATCCACACTGCTTACGTCCACGTGATAGAGAACAGCAAGCACTATATCTATATAGAAGTAAGTCTTGCTCATGTGAATTGCTCTGATGGCTTGCCTTCCCATGAATACCACACAGTGACGGCAGGGTCCCCGAACTCAGGACTTGATGTGTTAATAAGTGTACGTTGAGATGTGAAGAGGCCTTGGGTCACCTAAATTTGTATTTCCCCAGAATACCTGACATTTGCTTTGCATTTTCACTAACTCAGGACTTTGATAGGAATCCCCCAGATCTTTGTTGTTAACAAAGTTGTATATCAACTCATTGTAATATTGTTAGCCAGAAATTCCCCACTGTGGATGTGTAAGTGTGGATTTGGCTGGAGTTGGAGGGTGGAAGTGTGAGGCACGTACTGCTTTGGGAGAGCATGCACAGGGTAAACTGTAGAGACCCTGGCTGCCACTGGTTTGGGGGTGTCGGCGTAGGGAGAGTACAGGCAAAGGAACATGTAAGAATATTGAGGGCTGGTACCACCTTCTTCAATCCCATGTGAACAACTATTCGTGATAAAGCTTTTTCAGATCATAGAGTTTGTGTTAAAAAACAAACAAACAAACAAACAAACAAAAAAAAACAGGAGAAAATCTAGGGACACTGGATTTACTCCAGGAACCTTAATTGCAGTTCATAGTCCATCTAAAGCTACTTCAGAGCACTTGGAAAATCCTGAAAAAACAGTCATGACAATGCAATAAGTCAGAGCACATCTTCTATATTTTAGTCTTTTCTTTTCCTTTGAGTTTTGTAAAAATGTATGGAGAGATGGGGTAGCTGGAGAAAATCATTCTAGGCCTGCTGTCTTCCCCCTTGAGTCCTGGCCCTCTACCCTTCCACACAGTGACAATTCATTAAAGGCAGGTGCGAAAAAATTGGAGCTTTATTTATTTCACAGACGTGGAAAAAGAGAAGGCTGGTTAAAAATATTAGCAGGCTAAATGCAATGTGGTTTCTTGGATGGGATTGTGTAACAACAACAAAAAAAGGCAGGAATGAAAAAATTAGTAAACTGTGGATAAAATCTAGAGTTTAGCAATCCTGGTATGATTAGTGTTATTGATTTTAAAAATTAAAGCATAATAATGTGAGATGCTAATAGCTGTCTCACCCATTACCCAAAATTTTTTTGCTGTATTTCTTTTTGGTAGCATTTAGTCGGCTTTTCTTATTAATGCTGCCACAGTACTAAATGAGATCAGTAATGCCATGTTGATACATATGGATGGGGACAAAAACTTGATTGACATACCTCTGGGCAAGGTGAGTGGTCAGCATTCACCCTGCTCTCCCCCAGAAGAAGCAAAAGGCATGACATGTGGCCAGTGTATGTTACGGTTGCTGACAAGTGCTAAGCTTCTCCGTAATACAAGTGCAGAAAAACAAACATGGTTTACTTGACACTGAGATTTTGTTTTTTTGATGCCTTGAGGGGAAACACATTCTTAAATGAGTGTCTGCACAATGTTTTCTTCTAAGTTTGTCTTCTGGAGGCAGTTTACAGATTTATGCACTTAAGGGTAAAAATTAGTATAGTAATAAACATGACAATGTTGAAAAAGAGTGATATATTGACTCATTGCTTTTATATCTTCTTAAGATGATTAACAAAGGTTACTTTGTGATGATTATACTTATAAGTTACAGGTGTATTATACAATGTATAAATAGAACATGTAATAGTGATAATATTTTATCTAATTTTTAACATTCCTTTATGTAGCAACTAAACCTTTTATACCATTATAATAATGTTGTACCATGGTTTTCTAGTAATAGTATCATAGAATGTTTTATAGATACATAAATAACAGGAATACTTGAATAAAAAAATAAAAATATTTCACTTTCCATTTGATTGTTCTATTTACATATACACAACATACAAACGAGATTTTAAGCTACTGAAGAGAGTAAGAGATCCCAAAAAAGGAGAAAAGGCCAAAGCAAATACTAGTCAATAATGGAGAAACGGTGGAGAAAACTAGACCAGGGTTCTGCCATCTACCCTGTTAAAAAAAGTAAATTTAGCATGAGATGTTTGCCGACATAGAATTTTTTATTGAATTTATTGGGGTAACATTGGTTAATAAAATTCTATAGGTTTCCAGTGTACAATTCTATAATACATCATCTGTATATTGTACTGTGTTTGCCACCCAAAGTCAAGTCTCCTTCCAACACCATTTATCTCCTTTACCCTCTTCTACCTCCCCCACCTTTCCCTGTGGTGGTCACCATTCTGCAGTCTGTCTAAGAGGGCTTTTTGTTGCTGCTGTTTTTTGTTTAATTCCTTCACCTTTTTCACCCAGCCCCCCAGCCACCTTCCCTCTGACAGCTGCCAGTATGTTCTCTATATCTAGCCAACACAGGATTTTTCATCATAAGCATTTATGCAGTGTATGAATCTGAAAAGAAAGTCCGATTTCTTTATAGGCTAAATTTGGAATGCTTCTACCATTCTAAGATCTTAACCTATAAGGAATTTGCATGATGAAATAATAGCTTTCGCTTGACTAAGATATTATACCTGTTATTTCCTGGGAACGCATGTGATCCAGAATGAGATGAGGCTTCTTTTTTTCTGTGATTTACTTTCTTCAGGTGATTTTGGGGGTAGAATATGTCTGCTCTGTGAAATGTTTTTTAAAATATCAATATAGATTATGTTATATACCTTTTTTTTTTTTTTCCTCACCCGAGGACATTTTTTCCATTTTTTTTGTTCAGGTAGAGTGGGAGGGAGAGAGAGGAAGAGAGAGAGAGAGAGAAACATCGACGTGAAAGGGACACATCAAGTGGCTGCCACCCGCATGACCAGCCAGGGCCGGGGACAAACTGCAACCAAGGTACATGCCCTTAGCGGGAACCGAACCCGGGTCTCTCGGGACCGCAGGCTGATGCTCTAACCGCTGAGCCAAACCGGCCAGGGCCATATTTCCCTTGTATACATACTACTAAGATAAGAGAGACTGACATGATTATCCTTTTGATTTTTCATAGAACCAGTTTTTTATAAGTTGCGCGGATTACAAGGTTGTGTTCAACAAGATAGGTGATGCCATTGCCCAGAGGATCCTGAGAGCTTACAGGTAAGGTTCTTGGCATTTCGGCAGGAGTCATGACTGCAGATGTTCTTGCATTTACTGCTAAAAAGACTTTGAAGGCCCATTTTGTAAAGAACTGTCTTTTTCTAGCAGGTACGATTTGGTTCAACCAGCAGTAGGTTATTGATTCCTTAAGTCTGAGTCATTTGCTGAGAATTTTTTAGTCCATTTTCTGAGGGAATGTGAATTCTTCCAGAGCACAGTCATTTTTCTCCTGGCCAGTCTCTTTCCCATGCAGATTTGTGATTTGATTTATTTAATAGCAGACGGTGAGCTATGTTTACCTAAAAATTAAAGCAAAACAATCACAATATTTTTCTGTGAGTTATATTTAAATTCTGTTACCATCTGTATTATTTCTTTAGCTCATGGGATTTTTTCTTTAATAATACTTTTATTAAGATGTAATTCACATGCCATACAAGCTACCCTCTTTAACTATACAATTCAGTGATGCTTAGTATATTCGCGAAGCTGTGCAACCATCACCTGATCAATTCTAGAACATTTCCATCACCTTGTAAAGAAACCTTCTACCGTTGTCATTGCTCATTCCCTGTCCCCTCAGCCCCTTGCAAACACTAATCTACTTTCTTTTCTGCGGACAGGTCTTGTCTGGGCATTTCATATAAATAGTCATGAAATCTGTGTTCTTTTGTGACTTCCTTCACTTAGCTTAATATTCTCAAGGTTCATTTATGGTATAGAATGTATCAGTATTTCATATATTTTGAGTGTCAGATAATATTCTGTTATCTAAACATACTACAATTTATTATCCATTTTCAGTTGGTGGATATTTGAGTTATTTTCACTTTTTGGTTATATGAACAATGCTGCTGTAAACATTCTGTACTATTTTTTATGCAGATATGTTTTCGTTACTCCAGGGACAGAACTGTTGGATTGTATGGTAACTTGTAAGCACACATTTTGAGCAGCTGCCAAGATGTCTTCAAAAGTGGCTCCACTCTTTGACATTACCACATTGTATGAGGGCTCCAATTTCTCTCCGTCATCGCCAATACTTCTCATCTGTCTTTTTTATGATAGCCATCCTAGTAGGTGTGAAATAGTATTCCTTGTGTGTTTTTTTCCCCCCCCAGAGGATATGAATTTTTATTTTATTTTATTGTTGACAGTATTATAGATGTCCCCAAATCCTTCCCACAACACACACTTCTGCCCTTCTCCTCCCAGCTTCTGCCCTATCCAAGGCTTTTACCACACTATTGTCACTATTGTCTGTGTCCACTGGTTATGCATATATGTATATAAATTCTTTGTTTAATCTCTTCCTGCCCCCCCCCCCACACACACACACACATACTTGGAGATATGTCGGTCTGTTCCATGCTTCCATGCTTCTGGACTTATTTTGTTTGTCAGTTTATTATGTTCATTAGATTCCACATATAAGTGAGATCATGTGATATCTGTCTTTCTCTGACTGGCTTATTTCACTCAGTATAATACTCTCCAGGTCTATCCATGCTGTCACAAAATGTAAGAGCACCTACTTTTTTACAACTGAATAGTATTCCATTGTGTAAATGTTCATGGCTTTTTAATCCACTCATCTACTGAAGATCCAGAGCTTTATCCAGACCTTAGCTATTGTAAATAGCACTGCTGTGAACATAAGAGGGCATATATTCTTTCCGATTGGTGTTTGGGGTTTCTCAGGCTATATTCCTAAAAGTGGGATCACTGAATCAAATGGCAGTTCCATTTTTAATTTTTTGAGTAAACTCCATACTGTTTTCCATAGTGGTTGCACCAGTCTGCATTCCTACCAGCAATGTACTAGAGTCCCCTTTTCTCCACATCCTCACCAGCACTTGTTGTTTGCTGATTTATTGATGGTAACCATTCTGACAGTTGTGAGGTGATGCTTCATTGTAGTTTTAATTTGTATATCTCTGATGATTAATGACACTGAGCATTTTTTCATATGTCTATTGGCCATCTGTATGTCTTCTTTGGAGAAGTGGCTATTCAGGACCTGTGTCTATTTTTAATTGGGTTATTTGTCTTTCTTTTGAGGAGCTGTATAAGTTCTTTATTTATGTTGGAAATTAACCCCTTATCATATGTGTCATTGGCAAATATGATCTCTCATGCAGTGGGTTATCTTTTCACTTTGATGTTGGTGTTTTTTGCTGTGCAGAAGCTTTTAAGTTTGATGCAGTCCCATTTGTTTTTTGTTTTTTTCTTTGTTTTTCGTGCCCACGGAGATGTATCAGGGAAAATTCTGCTAAATGAGATGACTGAGATTTTACTGCCTATGTTATCTTCTAGAATTTTTATGGTTTCACTACTTACAGTTAAGTATTTTATCCTTTTTGAGTTTATACTTGTGAATGGTGTAAATTGGTGACCTAGTTTCATTTTTTTCTTTTTGCATGTACCTGTCCAATTTTCCCAACACCATTTATTTAATAGATTGTCTTTACTCCACTGTATGTTTTTTAATTATTTATTTTATTTTTTTATTAATTAATTTTTGTTACAGATGTTTCTCCTTTTCCCCCCACTGATTCCTCCCTCCCTGCCCTTTCCCCAGTTTGTTGTCCATGTCCATTGTTCATGCATACATGCATATAAGTTCTGTGGTTTATCTCTCCCCCACCACCCCCCTTTCTGGGGATTGTCAGTCTGTACCCCACTTCCACGTCTCTGGGACTACTCCATTCCTTAGACTGTTATGTTCATTATATTCCACAAATAAGTGACATCATATGAAACTTGTCTTTCTCTGTTTGGCTCGTTTCACTTAGGATGATACTTTCCAGGTCCCTCCATGTCGTCTCAAAGGATAAGAGATCTTTCTTTCTTACAGCTGCGTAGTACTCCATTGTGTATATGTACCACAGCTTTTTTATCCATTCGTCTACTGATGGACACTTGAGCTGTTTCCAGAACTTAGCTATTGTAAATAGTGCTGCTACAAACATGGGGGTACATATATTCTTTCTGATTGGTGTTTCAGGCTTCTTAGGGTGTATTCCTAGAAGTGGGATCACTGGGTCAAATGGAAGTTCAATTTTTAATTTTTTGAGGTAACACCATATTGTTTTCCATAGTGGCTGCACCAGTCTGCATTCCAACCAGCAGTGCACTAGAGTCCCCTTTTCTCCACACCCTCGCCAACACTTGTTGTTTGATGATTTGTTGATGGTGGCCATTCTGACAGGTGTGAGGTGATAACTCGTTGTTTTAATTTGCATCTCTCTGATGATTAGTGATGATGAGCATTTCTTCATATGTTTCTTAGCCATTGTATGTCCTGTTTGGAGAGGTGTCTAGTTCCTCTGCCCATTTTTTAATAGGATTCTTTGTCTTCCTTTTGTGGAGTTGTATGAGCATTCTATGTGTATTGGAAATTAACCCCTTATCTGATATATCATTGGCAATTATGCTCTCCTATACAGTGGGTAGCCTTTCCGTTTTGATGATTGTATCTTTCGCTGTGCAGAAGCTTTTGAGTTTGATGTAGTCCCATGTGTTCATTTTCTCCTTTGTTTCTATTGCCTTAGGTGATGTGTCAGTAAAAATTCTGCTGCATATGATGTCTGAAATTTGTGGTTTTAATTTGAATTATCCTAATGACTCATGTTGAGTATTTTTTTTCTGTTTATTCACCATTTATGTAATATCTTTGGAGAAATGTCTATTGAAATTTCTTGCCCATTTTTCAGTTAGGTGGTTTCCTTGTTGAATTGTAAGAGTTCTTTATATATTTTGGATACAAGTCTCATATCAAATTTATGACTTGCAAATATTTTCTCCTAGTCAGTGTGTTTTCTTTTTTCTTTCTCAATAGTGTCCTTTAAAACACAATTTTTTTATCTTATTTTTTTTTATCCTAACCCAAGGACATTTTTCCATTTTTTGTTCAGGTAGAGTGGGAGGGAGAGAGAGGAAGAGAAACATTGTCGTGAAAGGGACACATCGAGTTCCAGCCACCCGCACGACCAACCAGGGCCGGGGACAGACTGCAACCGAGTTACAAGCCCTTAGCGGGAACCGAACCCGGGTCTCTCGGGACCGCAGGCCGACGCTCTAACCGCTAAGCCAAACTGGCCAGGGCTGAAACACAAAATTTTTAATTTTGGTAAAGTCCAGTGTATCTATTTTTCTTTTATTGCTGGTGCTTTGGTGTCAGAGCTCAAAAATCAGTGCCCAGTCCAAGGTCATGAAGATTTACTGCTGTTCTCTTCTAAGAATGTTATAATTCTAGCTCTAACATTTAGGTTTTTGACCTATTTTCAGTTATTCTTTTGCACATGGTGGAGATAGAGGTTCAACTTCCTCCCTCAGCATGTGGGTATCCAGTGTGTCAGCACCATTTGTGGAAAAGATTATTCTCTCCCCGAATTATCTTGGTGCCCAGGACTATTCTTTTTTTTTTTTTTTTTTTTTCATCCTCACCTGAGGACATTTTTCCATTTTTTGTTCAGGTAGAGTGAGAGGGAGAGAGAGGAAGAGAGAGAGATAGAAACATCTATGTGAAAGGGACACATCGAGTGGCTGCCATCCGCACAACCAACCAGGGCCGGGGACAGACTGCAACCGAGGTACATGCCCTTAGCGGGAACCGAACCCAGGTCTCTCTGGACCACAGGCCGATGCTCTAACCGCTGAGCCATACCGGCCAGGGCAGGACTATTTCTTTATATTGTTCATTTTAGCTCTGTATAAAAGCAGCAAAACAGACAAGCAAAGCCATTCTGTTTTTATTATTTCAATTTATTGAACACATGTCATGGAGAATGTTAGCTACACACACATTTGAAGATTAAAACATTTTTTTGACTTCTAGTGTCATGTGGTACTTCAATATCTTTTCTTCACATAATATATTTTATGGAATTTCTAAATCTAAGAACATTTCATAGTAGTAACTACCAGCATTTTATATGGTTAACAGTTTGTTTCTATAGGCTCTTAGTGAATCTTCACAACTACCCTTGAACGTAGAT